AAATTCTTTATAATTACCGTTATTTGAAATTACACGAAAACAATCATGAATATTAAGATTGCAAGAATAATAATCGATGAATTTTTTCGCACGTTTCATAAATAAAAATATAATCGTGTCTAATATTTACGCACGTTCATTTCCGATTAAATGCAATTCACGCGGCAAGAACTCGAATATATTAAAAATTAATTTCGAAGTGAACGTAAGAAAGTCAAAACACAATAACACTTCATCGAAACACAATTCATAACTTCGCGAGGATATCCGTCATTGCGTCTGTTTTCTCAAGTAACTTCGCAAAAATACATATATGTATATATGCATAAATGTGTCTGACGGATGCGTCTGATCGATATAAACGTCCAAGACGTAAAGACACATGTATATATGTGTATCTATGTTTACGTAATGCGCGATATGATGGAAAAATAGCGATTAGATTTTACGCAGAGCATTGCATGTCCCAAATTTAAAAAAAAAACCCCACACACTACACAAAGAGTACAACTCCGCAATTCCGTCCCTTTTTAGGATGACGCTACTCCATCTTATTTTTAAAGTTATTTCAAAAGTCACATGCTTATCCACTCTGTTCTCGTTCGGGGTTAGTTCGTGACAGTATGTTATGTATGTAGGACGGTTACATTGTACACACATTGTATAGGCACAGAAAAAGCCCTCGTCGGCCGCGAGCCTTTGAGAAGAATACCTGAAGACAACTCGGACGTGTCGGGAGATAATAAAACTGGGTATAAATTCTGGTTGCAGAGATCTTTATCGCAGCAGATAGATGCCTGCGAGCGATAGATGCCCGGCTTGGTGTTGCAGAAATGGGGTGCTTCCGGCGGCATCCAGTTACGTCGGTCGAGGCACCTTTCACAACATCACAATTCTAAAGTTTAATCCGGAAGGCTCGCTCGAGCAGCCCAAGTTAAACGCTTTAGATCTCCCTTATCTATCTACGCGACTATATTTTTCTATTACGCCAACATATCTATATCCAATCAATTTGTACAATTAAAATTTTCATCCCCTTTAACTTTTCTCGTAAGAAATCCTGATCAACACGTTTCGCTCTTTTATCCATCTCTTCAAATTAATAATAAATAATTAATACAAATCAATAATAAATAAATAATTGAATTTGATTTAATATTTTACATAATTAAAATTAAAATTATATATATTTATAATTTTAATTAAAATTATGTATATATATATTTTATATAAAATGGTCAAAAGAGTATATTTTGCGCTGCATTTTACGTATCTCTATCTGTAAAAAAAAAGAAATACAAATAGAAAATAAATAACTGCAAGTCCACCTTCGATTCTGATCTACTTTCGCTCGATCGACATTCCATAAAATCTTTCGACGTGTGCGATGTGGATTCACGATTAACGACGTAATACTATCGATAGATTTTGCATTTATGCGCGTATAAAATTGCCTTGTGCTGCTTTCACGTTACACAGTCGGATCGAGTAATCTCGGTCGCGCTATTTTCAATACGATCTCCGACTGAATTATCCGAATTATCCGTCTGGCGCATCAAGCATTTAAGGGGCCGTCCACACGTCTGCGACCTCAGATCGTCGAACTGTCTCGATCGATCTTGTCCGATTTCGAGAGTGAGCCCCGCTTAAATCAGGGTTGTTAAAATATATAAAGCGTTATTAAAGTATAAATGCGAATGAGACTCTTCGAGTTTGTGTAATATGTGTTCATGAAATTAAGAAATATTCAGAGACGGCGCACAGTTTTCGAGACTGATATTATTACAAATATTAATATTCAGCAATCCATTTATCAAAAATACATTGGAAATTGAGAATTTATGTAAGCAGTAATCTCCGCGGTGGTGAGCAAAAATGTTGCTATCTGAGAAAAATGTTGAAAATGTTATAAGACATTTTACAACATTAAGTCATACATCTCAAGAGACATAATAATGCATGATTACTTTGGCAAAAGGAGTTTAATTTTGTAATTTATGCACTTAAAATATTAATTAAATTTTTTATATTGAGTTTTTACAATAGATATAAACTTTTGCATCAGAAAAATGTAATTCACATAAAAATTATTTCGCACACATATAAAAAAATATAGTAACACTAAATAATACAGTGCTTTTAAGTAGACAGTAGAAAATCAATTTTTAATGCTTTAAAGCAAGTAAAAATAAATAATCGAAATATCTCAAATTGTGTAATTTTGTATAAACTAGACAACGATACATATATATATATATATATATATATATATATATATATATATATATAAGTTAATAATATCGACCCAATATTAAAATTATTAAATTAAACTTTTAGTTGCAAAATAATTATCTGATAATATACGAAAAACTCCATAATGTCATGCAATAATATGATTAGGATTATGCATCGACCATTAGACTTTCGTCCTTTGATACGGATGTACTATGGAATATCGTCCATGATAAAGAAAATGTCGAGCTTTACAGAGTCGAAGGTCGAGTTCATAGTGCGTTTGGCACACGCACATTGCTTTATCTCTCCAACTTTTGACCTTTCGTTACGAATGTTTGCAAGTTTTTCAAAGCTATCGCAAAATTTAGATAAAAAAATATACTTATACATTATTTCCAAATTGAAAGGAAAACAATAAAACTTTCATCTTAATATCATATGATGGCATAAATAAAATTTGCAAAATTATAAAATTAACTTGACTCTATCCGGAGCATTTTTGACAGAAGCTTAATAAATGCCCAATTAAATAATTAGCATGTTGTTGGAAAACCTGGATTAGAAGAAATCTGAAATGATGTGGAATCAAGAATGATGAAAAATTATTTAAGAATATTAATTTATAATTTAAAAAAATTTATAATTTATAATTTTAAAAAATTTACAAATCGATACAATAATAGAACGAATTGTACTCTTCATAATCGATCTTACTTAAATAAATCGTTTGAAATCAAAGAAAGCTATATTGTACAACGCTTTTGGAAAACTAGAAATTTAAATTATTCCTTTTTTTTAATTTTTAATTCCTTGCTATCGTTAATTAGGGAATAAATCAAAAGTAAATAAAATTCTATTTTAAATATTATATCTTTTGTGAGCATAGAATATTTCATTTTGTACTAATATGCAAGGATTAAATTGTTTAGACATATTATGGAAAATAATATATAATTAGAATATAATTCAATATAATAATTATAAATTCAAATAGAGGAAATTCCTTGTACATTCTGCATTTTAAACATTTAATATAAAATTGAATAATGCGCTTCTATGTCCAAATAAAAATTCATTCATCCAAGATGTTTATTTTAATTCCATTTATCCGAAATGATCGTCGGAAGTTCATCGTATAAATTTCTTGTCAACAATTTTCTTTCAAGACGATAAGATTTCAAAAAAAAAAAAAAAAAAAAAAAAAACGACAGATTCGAATCACGAAAGTGTCATCTCATTTGCCAGAACTGGACTGAAACTTGTACATGGCTACCCCCACGTTCGCGAGCAAGAAACTTCCTCGATACGTTCGAGATCGATACCGCAGGGGGAGATGAGGGGAGGGAAGGTACCATCGAATTTCGCCCCGAGTTCGCCCTGCGATCGATCGCGACCAGAATTTCCGTACCTGTATAGCAAGTTCGAACTTGAAATCTCGCCAAACATCGCGTTCGGTAACGTTACCAACGCGACGACCAGCCGACAACAATAATTCGTTTCCGCCGAAACGGGTGCTAATCATGGCCCGGGCTAAAGAAAACCGGCTAAACGTTGATTCGTGGAAACTACGAGGGCATCGATCGCGACGTTGAAGCGAAACCACCAAAGGCCATCGTTTGATACGAAGGCAGCACGGTTTTTTCGCGGATAGTGACCTGAGCCAAACGCACGAGGCGCATGTGTGATAAACATTATGTAAGGAAGCTCTAAGTAAATGCGTATTTAGTTCATTAGTGCATAGCCTTCGATTAATCGAATGAAAAAAGATATCTTTAATTTAAAACTTTGATTATAAATTATAAATTGTTGTAAAAAAAATAATAAAAATAATATAATAATAATAAAAATAATAAAAATAATGGAAACTGATAACTTTTTATTAACTATTATAAGAAGATGGAATTCACAAATAAAAAATAAAAAATTTCTAATAGTTTTATATGTGAATTCTCTGAAATAAATTATAAATCTACTTGAGACTTATTAATATAAAATAAATTTAAAAAATGAGAGAAAGAAAAGAAAATATATCATTCTCAATATATAAATTACACTTCAAATGTGCAAATTATTTTGTGTTTTATGTCTATGTTTATACATTAATAAATTAATGAATTTTAAATAAAGAATAAAATCAATCAGAATTAAAAGCAAGATAGCAAATAATAATAATTAAAAAAAAATCTCAAGACAAAAATGCCTACCTGAGAACAAGTTTGTATGTTTTTAATATTGATTACGCAAATAGAGCGTTGCAATACGAGCATGAATTGTTCGTTCACACATGATAAACTCATACTGATAACGTGCGTGAAGTCGATAACGAATCTGGATCTTGTTTTGCTGCAAGCTGCGCTTGCTTAGAAAATCTAACATTAATGTCATTGACCGGTCGCTAACAAGCCAGACACCATAATAATTATCATCTAATTCATTATGAAATATCGATATATGCCTACGTCAAAAAACTTTCTCTCGAGACAAAACTCGATACTCCTAATCAACATAATTATTTTGCAAATTGTGCAATAATCGGACATATATCTTGAATAATATAATACACTGAAAATTAATAAATTAAATAAAGAAATTCAGTGAGAAAAATGAATACAATTTCTCGGAAGAAATACCGATTTCAATAGAATGTTATCCATATAACTGATGGCAAATCCACCGACAATCAAGGAATGAATTAATGTGTAAAAGGGAATCTCGATTTTAAATCGCATATACTTGTCAATAAAATCCACGTGCAAATATATTACCTCCTAGCATACGTGATGACGCCATTTTCCAAGCTTGTACTGGCGAAACAATAGCCATCAGTTTCGCACGTGTAATTGTCGCCTGGGCAAATGTCACAAAAGCACTTGAGTAATACTCCTAAAAGCAAAAGAAAATAATTAATTATACATAATTTAAGTTATTCATATAAATAATATAAAACAGTCGGAATAAATTTTCCATGTTTTTATTAATCTAGAATTAAAGCGTTTCCGGTGAAAATTTTATTTAAGCGCGAATTACAATCGTATTAAAATTATAAATATCGTAAGACAAATATTAAAAAGAAAATTACTACTCTATATCATTCTTCACAATATTATTTTATTCGCATTCTTTCGAATTCTACAAATTAATGTGCGAAGCAATTTTTTCTTAAAATATTATTTATATTATGTAATTGTTTTGGTTATTAATATATGTTTATAAATTAATTAAAATTATATTGTAAAATAATAAATAATTGCATCATTATCCTATACCGTTATTTAGACATTTATTCTAATTATGTGATTATTGTATGATAATATATGTAAAATATAACGTAGAATATATGTATATATGTACGTGCCTGCGCGCGTGTGCATATTTGCGTATGTGTGTGAATATCCACATACAAATGAATATAGATTAATTAATATTTTTTTCATTTTTGTCGCCTTTTTTCACTTTAAATATAACTAACAATAAGTATGAATTATTTGATGATATATCAAATTTCGTAAGTAAAATAAATTTCGTGAAAGGACGCTTATTCTTGCATGTTCTGTCATAGAATAGAAATATGGGAAGAAAGATATTATCGTGAAACGCTATACGGCACTTATCGCAATTGAGAGGTAGGTTATTTTACAATAATATAACATCATCGTAAACTTCGTAAAAATGCAATTTTCAAGATTGAATAATTGCCAATCTTTCTCTCCCCCTCCCCCTTTCTTCTCTCTCTTTATCTTCACAATTATTTTGAGAGGGGAAAAAAATAATAATTCAATAGAAAGAATTTTTTTAGAATTTTTATATTTTAAAAATTATCATAGAACTTAAGAATACATGAAAATTTAACTTAAGAATACATAATCTAAAAATCTATATAGAAACTTTTCATTCCTAATATAACTAATGTTACAATATCTAATTTATATAAAAAAAATTTAAATCTAACAATCATACTTGTGAAAAAAAAAATAATAAAGATTTAAGACTACAAAAAATTAAAAATCTGGGAAATTCTGATGTTATATAATAATAAACAGGCTCATGTGAAATACGGGAAATTCTGATGTTATAATAAACAGGCTCTCTCTTTATGAACTTTACTGTTAAAAAAAATGAATAGCATATAAAAAAATTATAAGCACATGAAAATCTTGGAATTTAATACACTTAGATATATGATACTTTTGTCAAACCAAATGTAAAATTCTAAATAGCAAAAATTATAAGCATCGAAGTTCTGCAATGTCTTAATCTATTACTTTTTTTGTTATTTGAACAAGAAATTCTAAATATAATAATTCTAGCTCACATTTGATAACAATTTGAATACACCAAGAATAATATTCTTACAATCGTCATGTGAAATTATAAGTTCATGAAACGTATTGATATTTATGTGTACATATATTTCTGTATGTAAATATTATTGTAAAATAATTGCCAAAATAATTGAAAATTAAAAAAAAACCTAATTAAAAGATCCATCTTTAATTTAAATCTATATAAATATGTAGGCCACGCATATAAATATAAATGAATATAAATTTATTGTATAAAAATTAACACACTTTTTTATAAATGCTAAAAACAAATATGTTTTTATAGAAACTAAAAACAAATATGTTTTTCTTATAAACATTATACAGTCAATAACTTTGCAACGTCAAAAAAAATTATATATTAACTTTATTTGATTGACTTAACTATTGATTAAATGTAACAGATTGAGGAGACTCTGACTCAAGAGCCTCATTAAAGTTTCCAATTGCGAATTTGATAGAATGAGTTTAATTTAAGTCATTAAAATACGCCCACAAAATGGTTGAACGGCCTCGTTGCCTGACTACTTTTCTTTAACTAGAATCTTGGAACTTTTCTAAAAAAATATTATGTATAATTATTATGTATAATTATTATGTATAATTTGCTGCAATTTTCGTAATTAGAGTTCTTATTTACATATATAGTACACAGTCACACTATAAATGTTGCATAAAATAAAGTACAGGTTTACAGTATTAGTTATAATAATTGTGCCAAATATCATAAAAAATATAATAATTGTACCAAATATCATAAAAAATTCTTACAAAAATATGTACTATTAGTTATATAAAGAAATTATTTGAATTTTGATTTAATTAAATAACAAAACTTTTATAGTTTTTATAAAAATTTACTTTTTTGTATTCAGCAAAGAGCTGAAACTTATGTTAAATATTATTTTGCTCATAATTCGTACATTAAATTTGTACATTAAATAGAAAGTATAAATTATTAATTTTAATTCGAAAATTATTACATAATTATGAGTAAAATTCGATCATACTTGTTTTAATAATAATCATTTAGAAATGTTAATAACAGGTTTAAAATGTATTAAATAAAATCATTACTTCATCAATGCAGTCATTATTCTGTCTACGATTTTTTACTGTTGTAAATAACATTATTTTGTAAGTAATACGTGCAAATGAAAACTATTCAATAAAAACTATTCAAATATATAAAAAAAATTATATTTAATATCGTATATAAAAAATGTGTATATGCTAATAAGCATATAAATTATAAATTGATATAAAAAAATTCAACTCCAATAAAAAATATATTATCTTTACGTCAATATTATTGATGCATAATTATTGTACATACAATATACATTTTAATTTTTAATGATTTTAATGATCAAGCGAATAGCCACGAAATGCGTCATAGTAAAAAAAAATAAATTAATTAAAAGTAGTCCATAGATTAATAATTCATGATTAATTTATGATAGTAATGGCATCATTGCACTATTTCTTTCCAGCTCTAATTTACAATTCAACGATCAATATCATGACCATTAGCTACGATTTCATATTTGCCAAATACATATAAAAACGTGTAAAACTATATTTTTACTGAATATGTAATCTTAAATGCGTATTTTATCGAATTTTATATTACATATAAATGTTGAATAATTATTAGATATAAAAAAACAAATCAAAGTATGTTCAGTTGACGAACACTTCTGACGTATAACATCGAACGAAAAAAAAAATACATGATATTAACATGCGATCCGTATTATACTCTTTTTTTGTATTCAATATAATTCCTAGATTTAATACTACGGAATTACTTGGAATTCCACTCCAACAGCATAATAAAATTTATTCTAACACGCACAAATAATATTTTATATAAATGCATACAGAAATCATATTTGTGCTGAAATGTAAACCATATAAAATTAAATGATATTAAATAAAAAGTCTTCACGAAATAATGCGCTGCTTCATATGTATCAAAAAAGCTTGTTCATTTTGATACTAAATAAAAATATAAATCTATAACTGTCTCATCAAATTTTCTTTCAAAGGCTCCAAATATTAATATACATGAAAACATAAAATTTTTATGATATACTCTGTACACTAATTGTTAGCGGTTTCTTTCCAAGAAATTCAAAATTCAATTAAATTTAATGTCACATTGAATGTTTCATGCATCAAGAATGAATCACATATAAATTATATCAGAAATAATTCGTCGTGCTGGTTACTTTTTTTTAGATATGTGACTATATATTTTTATTATGATGTCTCATTGGCTAAGAGATAAAGACAGATGGATATTTTTCTCCGCGCGCGCGCACGATACCCTATATCGATTGGAATCGCGTCATTCGACCTATCTCGGTATCTCGAGAGGAAAAAATATTATGACTTCGACATTTTATTGGACAGTAAGACGACACGCGCGTTAAATGTTATCTACGTATTGCATTTGGTTTATATAAATGCCAAGCTGATCGTAGATTACAACCGAAAACTTACGACAGAGATATATGATGCTTTAAAGAGCACGGCAATGTGTCGCATATACGCATACAACACAAATACACACGCATAACATAATGATATTTATCATATCTTTGGCGCTGATATAGTGTTCGATAAGCAATTAATACTCCGTTTTATATTTTTCTAAATATATCGCGATATCAACTTATCAACCTAAAAATCCATTAAAATAATAATTTTGTAATTTTTTTCTCTTATAAATTAAATAATTAATTGCAAAATAGTTATTTCATTTTTGTATTTTAGAAACTATTTGAAGGATAATGTAATTAATAGGATAATGATACTATATTAATTTTGATAGAATTTGGAAATCACGAGAAATAATCATTTATTAAAAATCTCAAGGTAATCAGATAAACCGAATTAATCAGAAGTTAATCAGATAAAATATTATATGTTACACAGAAAGTATATACAGGAAGTCTCAGGATCACTGCACTTCTTGTTATGGCAGATTGAGATCAGAGAGATAATTCTTCTTCAGAAAATTTTGAAATATCAATAATTTTCGAGTTATAGCGATTCAAAAAAAGAGCTAAAAGCTTCTGCAAACTAAATTTTATAAAAAGAAAAAAGTTAAAAGATTATCAAAACTATATTCTTCAGTTATAATTTCAGATTGAGTATATTTTAATGGAATTTTAATTTAGTTACAAAGATATATAAGATGATAAAAATTGGAAACTGATAAAACAATAATTTCCCTTGATATTTTCCCTGAGGAAAAATCGTCTCCATATGATCTCAAAAATCTGTTACTAGCAGATGATTCTAAGATAACCAGCATTTGTAATTTTTAATAAAATTTTATTAAGAAATGTTACAAATATTACAAGTGTAACATGGAAAGAAAAAAAAAAAAAATATATATATATATGACAAGAAGAATTAATACATTATTTGTAATAGCACAATATTAAAAATAAATAACTTACAAATTTTACTCTCGTTACTTTCTATTCTTCTTACGTAATCGTTCTTTTAAGAACATTGATATGTCGTATGTTGATATGTTGTATAAAA